CGATGAAAAAAATTAATAAGGGATTTTTAAGGGTAGTTTTAACCTTTGAAAATAAACCTTAAAGTGAATCTTATCCAAAATAGCACTGAAAATTCTTTACGCGCCTATACATATAAAGCCTATAATTTAATTTTTTTTATTATATGCTTTTGCTAATTTAATTATTTTTCATTCAACTAAACTTCTTAGACATTTTTTACACTATGCTTATCTTAATTATCTAGTAAATATTTTATCATGCGCATGATGTCAANTTATTTATATGCTTTTGCTAATTTAATTATTTTACTTTCAACTAAACTTCTTAGACATTTTTTACACTATGCTTATCTTAATTATCTAGTAAATATTTTATCATGCGCATGATGTCAACTTTGTTCACATTTGTTTATACCATTTATTAAGAATAGCCATACTTTCAATGGTTATTGCTCGTGCTTACATAATATATTATCTACGTACGAAAAGCAATACAATGATTTAAATGAAAGTTTTACAATAAATTTTTCTTTAGCCTCTCAGCATGTCTAAAAATATCCTAATAGTATAATAAATTAAAAATTTGTAACTGCAAAGTTTGACCGTACTACTAAAATAAATCCCATGACCTGTCACAGCTAATACAATTTAATGTTATAAAACAGTAAAAGTTTGGACAATTTTTTCCAGTAACTTTTTAAAAACAAGTATAAATGCAAATATTTGATGATGCCTGTAAATTTATAAAAAATAAAAGTAACTTAAATTGATACAATTTTACTACCACTTATATTTTACACACTAATACATGTATTCATGTAGCATATAAGAACTGAGGGAAGTGCTTGCAAAACGATTTTACTTATGAATTATTTGGAACTTTTGAAGTCAAACTAGCATAATAATCTGTGTTTATGTCTCAAAGTAAACACTGTAAGTAAATTTTCCGCAATCTATTATTAAATAATAATTTAATTTGACCAAAAATTTAAATTAAAGATTATACATTACACAATTATATCATCTTTGCATATACACTACATACTAAATAAAAAGCCTAAGTATTTAGGACATGCTTTAAAATAACAATAATAATTATCTCAATGAAAACATTTTTTGTCGCTTCTATATTATAATAATTTGGGCGGCATTTATTTATCAACATGTGTCCATCATCGGTGGAAAAATTATTCTTAAAAATGAACTAGTTCAAGTTAAAGTTATTTAAATCAAATATGATCTAAATCAAGTTCAAGTTCATTACAGTTAACTTTTTTTTAAATTAATGACAAAATTAAAATAATAATAAAATTAGAAAATATTTTATGAAATAAAATTTGTAGTTTTTTTTATTTAGGGTTTCGAAAATTCATCTAAAAAATAATGCATTCTCATTCTTATTCATTGAGCTCCAAATCGAATTAATTTACATTCAAATAACATTTTTTTCAAAAAGAAAGTATTCGCATTTACATTAACTAAAAAAGAATATATTCATGATAACATCCAATAAATTTTTTTTATAATACAGATATTGAGCTTGACAAGTAATGGCACATATGAGAGATTTGAAGGGGCTTACTTCCTTCGTATTTTCAGAAAAACTATATGTATTAAATATATAATATATATAATAAGTATACAAAAGTAGAATTTAAAAAAAGTACGTAAGCTTATTAGATATGTATGTTGCATTTAAAAAAGTGAAGTTGATTACTTCATAAGGTATAATGTATGATGATTGATAAAAAAAATGATATGTTGTTAATAAAACCAAAAAAAATTCTTATCATAACTTTTGTTTTGTAAGTAAATGAAAGAGTGCATTTTGATAAATGAATCACCTCATATGTTATTATATAAATATTATATATATTATTTTTTTCAAAATTGAAAATAATCTATTTTTATAACTAATCAAATGAATTTTTGCATTCAAATTCACATACTTATATAAAATTAATTAATTCATATTTATAATTAATACTGTGAAAATGTATATATGTTAATTTAAAATTAAATATTATAATAATATTTTTAGTAATGCATTTAATTGAATAAGCGTATTGGCGGGACCTTTCAGACGACCACTCGCCGAGTTAAATCTTGTCTTTGCTGGTTCTTTAGATAAAACAAAAATTCAAATAAAACTTTATGTACTGTATGTCTCCTTTGAGATTTTTATTATTAAACTTAATTTAAAGAAAATATAATTTTTACTCAAATGTTAGTAACTTAACCTTAAAATAAATATGTGTATAATGAATAAATAGCCATAACAATAATATTATTAAATTAGTGAAATTAAGTCGAGCTCATGACAATGAAAGAACCGAAACTCACTGACTTCCACTGTGCCATCCTCCTTTGACACGAACAATCAAATGAATTCATCCCGAGCTCTATTTTTATGATTATGGTACTAACTACTATCTCATTAAAACTTACCACGTTAAAAAATTACTGTTACTACGCTATGATATTATATTATTTCTTAAAAATTAATTTAAAATCAATATTGATTTCAAATTATAGACATATATTTTTTTTTATATAACTTGAACGGTAAAAAGACAGTCAAATAAACTTTGCGCTGAACGAATTAAAAATGTTCATGTTCATACAAAAAAAAAGAACTGACTTCGTGTTCTAGTTAATTTTCTAAAATTAGAACGTGTTCTTGTAAAATTCATATGAACACGTTCACATAAACATGTTCTGAGCCGTTTTATTATTACACGTGTGTAAACTTTGTTAGCTTATTTCTCTGTTTTTAAAAAAATCGAGATAGAAATGTTAAAAAAGATTTTGTAAAAAGAGAAAAGAAAAATAATAGAAGACTGACGATAATTCTGAAAATAAATGGCTGAAACGTGAAAAGCAAGATGATGGCAGAGGACGCAAATAATCTCAGAACGTGAAAGCTAAAAGTATAACGACCTTACATTGGTCAAAAATAATGCAAAACAAATGGGGAACAGTATTTGGCATCTCATCATATTAAAATATATTTATTCACTAATAAAGAATTTTTTCAACCGTATTGTGTTTAGAATATAATATTTTCTTTTTATAAAAGTTGAGTTGAACAATTTAATTGTTTTATTCAATTTTCTTTTTCTGCGTAATTAAAATACTTAAATTCATAAAATTAACACAATGTCTATCGATTAGTCATCCAGGTAAAAATTAACTTTTCTACTCTATTTATCCTGAACAATGTATGTTTTTAAAAAAGTTTTTTATCTCTTGGAAAAAAAAATAATTGTTAAAATTGGGGTAATTTTAACTCATTCAAACTTAATTTCTGAATTGTAATAATTATACAACTGATTTCTTGAGATTTATGTAAATCTCATTAGCATAAAAATTGAAACCGTACAAAAATCCACCTGCTTTTGCAATATACCAAATGTACATAGACAACTTTCGCTTTTCGTTTTATGTGCATGACAAAAGAACAAAAGAGATCGTCTAAAGCGCTTTACCATTTCCTTCGGATTTTCTGTTGTCAAAATCTTATGCACGATTATTGTTACTACACAATAGCAGATAGCCTTTGTATGTGACAGATTGTCTAAAATCAAAATAAAACACTGCGAGATTCATGTCTAACTCAAACGGACAATACAAACTAAGAAATTTAAAATATACAGTGATTATTAATAATGTACACAAAATGTGTCCTGTTCGATAATATTCTTAAAAATAAAGTTTGAATCGTTTTTTAAAACAATTGTCTATTCAGTGAATGTTTCGAATCTCATTGAATACTGATAAATATTTAAAAATATACTAATGGTGTTAGTCTTTTGACAAAAGCCCTTATTGTATAATATTCAGTGTATATTTTAAACTCTTTTCGAATCACTCAAAACTTTGCCTTCGAAACTTCTTAAACTTAAATAAACTACATAAAAACTATTTAAAAGTCACTAGACAAAAGTAATAAATCTATGACAATTTAAGTGAAACATTTTCAAGAAAAAGTACACGACAATTTTTGAATAGTATAATCATAGCCAGTATCTATACAACCGAATGAAAAAAAGTATTTTAACATAGTAATCTTCATAACCGCATAAAATGGTTTGTTAATAAAAGATTAATAACATTAATCCTCATTTTTAATATTTCATATTAATGTGTACACATAAAGATAACTGACATATTTTACAATATACAATAGCAAAATAAGTAAAAATTAATAGTTGAATGTAAACAACATTAAATTAATATTTAATTTTGTGTTATATAAAACGTAGTCCATCAAAATTTATCAATCAATAAGTATGTATTTCGCGTAAAAAATATCAGGACTATATTAAATTATACGTTAAGATTAATATAAAGGAACGATATTTGATAAAACGTTTTCGTGTAAACAATACCTTTAATATTTTATTATAAACAAAATAAAATCAGCTTTTGAGTTTGTTGTGAATATTAAACTTGAAAAATGATGTATACAAAAAAAAAAAAAACTATACATTTTTGAAGAATAAGTAATTATAAATTTTGTCGCATAAATATTTATTATTGCAGACTAAGTTAAATTTAAAATAAAATCTTAAAACGCCTGTTTATATTTAATTTTTAATAATTAAATATATTGACAAGTAGAAACGTTCCATCAATTATTATGTCCGTCAAACTTAGACTAGTAAACTCTTAAATTACACTAAAAAATCCTAAATAAGTTTTCAAACTTTGATTTCATGTTACTTTATATTGATTCCATCTTCAAAAGATAAAGTTCAAAGAAGAGTGAATTCTGAACCTTTAGTCTATATAATTTTAGATTTTTTTTAGTTATTAGTTTTTTATGAACTCAAAACTAAATATAAAACAAATTTTAGAAAGAATTGCTCGTAAAAAATAAAAATCAATATCAATTTTTTCTGAAAACAATTCTTACGTTAAAATTTTTAAGTTCAGTAAAATCAAATAATTCTACTGAATTCGTTTAGGGTAATATTAACAATTTTTGTTTTGTAATAATTTAAAATTTTGCTCTACAGGTATCATGGATTAGACATAGAGACATTCATATACTAACGGTAGGTGCATACACATATACCAGTGATCAAAGGTTTCAAGCCATCCACCATAGATCACATTCTGACCAGTGGACACTTCACATCAAATGGGCTCAAAAAAGAGATGCTGGTATTTATGAATGTCAAGTGAGCACTCAACCAGTGCGCAGTATTTTTGTCACACTTAATGTTGTTGGTAAGACAAAAGTATTAACTTCATATGATTAACAAATCACCGCAGAATAGAAATCAACACTAAATTAAATTTATTCGTCAAATGTTAAACTTTCAATATATTTAAAATCTAATTCGAATTTTCTGAAGCTATTTAAAAAAAAATCCCTGATATTCCGCGTATTAATCATTCACTTTTAAATAGACTAAATAGTAATGATTTAATTGTATATAACTATAAAAAAGTATCACTGAATAGGAAAAGTATTAAAATAGCTACTCTTTTATTGATGTACTTATCTATTTTGAACAATAAAAATTCGTTTTTACAGTATATATTCTTAAAAAATGATCTCGAGATGAAAAGAATTCATTTAATTAAACGTACATCGTTTCAGATTCGGTACCACCTTTCCATAGTCATGAAGATTTATTAGACATGATGATAGGAGACGGAGACGCTACAAAAGGTTATTATTATGCTTTTAAAATGGCCATAGTTCTTTGTCATTTCTAATTAAATTTGTAAAACTAACCAATTTTAAAAATTATAAAACTAACATTCCGTATAATTGGCAATAATACTTAATTGATTTTACATTATACAAATTAATAATGTCATAATATAACACTAGAACGCATTGCGTTTAATCACGAGAAAAACATATAATACAGTTTTGTAAACAGTAGCTTCTGCTTCATTAACATAAATGTACTAAATTTCATTGACCCACATTGTATTTTATGTAAAGGGAATAGTTGTTTTAATGTATTTTCCATTATGGTTGTAGTTATGTCAGAGGAACATAATAACTCTGCCGTAACTCAAAACTATAAATAACTCAACAACAAAGAGATAATAATTCCACTTTCTATTTAATCCAACTCTCAACTAGGATTAATTGAAAATATTTTTATCAAACTACTAATTATATATTGAATTCATACTAGATTAGAGTTCCTTAAATTAATTAACTCTTATTTACAAATTATCAAACTGTAATTAATAATTTGAATTTTTTGAGTTAGCGTGATACTAAAATTATTATTAAGAAATAACTAAGAAGACAAAATAGAAAGTAGAATAAATTATGGTTTAAGTGACACTATAATAATACAAAATTAGATGTAATTAATACCAGTAAGAAATTATTTTTTTAATACATTTTTAATATTTAAAATCATAAAAGTTTTTGTTACAATTATTGAGTTAACAAGATGACAATTTTAAACCGTTCTGCAAATTAATTTTCAAACTTTTCTATGTTAAGTACTATTAAGAGCGCTATTTGACTAATTAGCAGTTCTTTCTTATCAACAGAATATATGATACATCTCATTCACGAATGTTATAAGTATCAACATAATACTTACGTGTGCTTAAAACTATTACGGAGCAAAAGTTCGAGCAACCAAACGTTTTTAATTAAAATTCTTGAAATTCCAAATGTTACCACTTTAGTACACCTTCAATTATTTGTACACATCTCAATTTGATTTTAAAAGCTAAGTAAAACTTCCGTGATGTGTATGAATAAAACTTTATACTGATATCATAATAAATATTCTATATTTAAATATTACTATAGCTTTATAAATTCTTAAAGTATAAAAAAAATCAGTTTATAACATAATATTACGCTTATATTGTGGGTTGTAATTGAAATTAATTGACCTCAATCAAATTTGTTAACATGAATATGAATTACTAAAAAATCGAAGAAGATATATATGTATAATTTTTTTTTTGATTTAAACTATTTTCTTTTAGTTCCATCAGCATCTATATCTGGAGGTCCTGACATTCATGTAAATGAAGGAAGCACCATAAATCTAACTTGTGTTGTCAAATTCAGCCCAGAGCCACCAGCTTCCATTTTTTGGTACCATTATGATGAGGTGAGTTTATTCAGGAGTAATTTTATTTCAATTTTTAATTAAAATTATATTTTTATATTAATAATTAAAAGATTAGAAAAGTAACTCAATGCGGTGATATCAATTTTCGATACCATTCTCAGAAAAAATATGTTAATTATAATTAAACATAATTACAGAATATAATTATTATAAAAGAATACTAAAAATTTGATATCTTATTATAATTCTTGTTTATTAAAAAAGATATCTTCATTTGTACACATTTAGACATATTTTTTTCTATTTTTTGTAGATTATCATTGTTATTTTTTTTATTAACTAATATAAAATAAATATACTTTATTTTTATCAACTCTGCAGTTTGCGCTTTTTACAGGTATAAAAAGTACATTAATGTAAAACAAAAAGTATGTCACTCAGGTAAATCAAAGTTTAAATCATACATATCGCTAAAAAAAATGTATGACAACAGATAAAAAATATAAACATTAAAAAATAAACTTTCGTGGACTACAGTTTCTTCATTGAAATTGCATCAGGCAATCCTACATAATGGTTCTTTCTACGGGCAAATCAATAAGCTGCTCATAGTGTATTCAATATTCCCTTAAAGCCATCGTTGATGTTATTGTATACTAAGCTATAAACTTTTCTTTGAAAACTTTTAAACAAAATTTAGTACCATATCACATGAATCTGGCAAAAGTTATCTCCTACAAAAATACTTCACGTTACCTCGTCTTTTATATAAATCTAATATCATTTGTACCTACTGTGCTTCTGACTTTGTCAACATTTTAGTTTTATTAACATAAAAATTTCAGTTAATCACTAAATTTTAAGTTTGACATTTGCAATACTAATTTTTATTGTGTTGAGTAATTAATGATGATTTACGTCTATAACTAATTAAAACTAGTCAACGTTTAATAAAACTAAAACTAAAACTATAAATTGCAGTCTAATTTGTAAATTTAATAATCATTGCACGTGGCACAAACTAACTAGTGAAGCTATGTATTACCTTGAGATTTATTACACTCAAGTAAAAATTAAACCAACAATTCGTGCTGTTTAAAAAACTAAAGCCAGGACAAAATATTTTATTTTTAAAAGAGAGGGGCACTATAAAACGTTTTTAACTAAGCACGATGTCCTAACAAGTATCCCAGTTAACCTATCCTTGTATCGTTATTTATAAAGATGTGCATGATAATTAATCAAATTAATATGTTTGTTATTTAGGTAATTAGTTACGATTCCACTCGAGGAGGTGTAAGTGTTGTCACAGAAAAAGGAGATATGACGGTAAGCTATCTGCTCATACAAGATGCCGTGCAATCCGATTCTGGAAAATACTCGTGCATACCGTCCAATGCTGATGTTTCAAGTGTAGTCGTTCATGTACTAAATGGTAATTATTCAAACTTTTTTTTTTATATATAATTACTATAATTATTTTTACATGATTAACATAACTTAAAGAATATCAACAAGAATTACAATTCTACAGGAATTAAAAAATGAAGTTCATATCATTAACACTTGTAGGGAAATTACCCATGGGTGGCACATTTAGTAATTTTTATGAGGAGGGTCCAGATAACTTTTAGAACATAGAGTAGTAAGGAACTTCACCTTTACACGCCTATACTCATGTATATAAGAGAAATAAATACTAAGTTAATTAATCAAATAATGTTCAACTGTTTGTTGAAAAAATTATAAATAAAGATTTAAATTGTAAATGTACACTTTATTTAGTTACCTCTAATGTTTTACTTATTTTTATTATTTTTTTATAGGCGAGAGTCCAGCTGCTATGCAGACCGGGTCAGCCGGATTATCCAACAGTTCCATCACCATTTTATGTGTTATGATCTTGAGCTGGACGTTTACCCGAACCGATGTTCAACTTAGATAATAACGTTATAAAAAAAATCGAGTTCCTAAAGTTTTTATACGAAATTTGTAAAATCATATGTATCATTTTTCAAGATTGTTAATGTTAATACACAATAAAGTTATTTTAATCACAAAAAAATTTATTTAGAAACTGTAATCGATATTCAATTGCCATAATTGAACCATGACGATCTACCAATATTGGAATAAAATGTACATAATGTTATTATTTTGTTAAGTTGAAATAAAAAATTCAAGTTACCTGCGGTCAGGCGCGAGCTCATTAACACTGTTTTTACTGATTTAGTTATATACAAAGAAAGTATACCAATATTTTATTTGTTACATTATGTCAAGAATAGACACATTAAAGACCGTAGACACGCTAAAAGTTGAACGCAATTACACAGACGATTATCACTAAGTGCTAATTTTATAAACGTTCAACAAACAAGTACACAGTTTTTTTATAGCACTAATGAAATATTTTTTTAGCCAACTCCTATTTAATTTTAATGGTTCAACGAGCATATTTTATAATTGCCGTTTAGAAAAAAGCATCTTCTTTAAGTTTACTCAATCCTTTTTTTCTGAATGCACATATGATTTCATACAAGATATTAAATCTTGTATGAAATTATCATTAAGATAATATTAAAACCACATATCTCATGTTTAATGTTTATTTTGATTTTGATTTATAATATAGATTTTTTTGACATTCGTCCATAAAAACCCCTTTATACTTTCTGAGAAAAAATGATTTTGAAAAAAATTAATTCGTTTAGCAAAAATCGAAATCTGTTTATACGTAATTTTTAATAATATTTATAAATTTATAAAATTGAATCCGATAATGAAATTTAATAACTATTTTATTCTTATTAAAAATTAAAATTAGCATTAATAATTTGAAATAAGAATAAATATATATACAGGTGTCTCAGACCTAATTGACAACGCTTATAACTTTTGAAACATGTATTTTTTATAACTATTGGGTTCTTAGACTACGTCAACATCATATGAGCTTTTCTTATAAAAAATTTTAATAGATCAATTAATTTTAGAACGAATATTTATTGATTTTCATTAAAAATATGCTGGTGATATTTATAATGCATTGTATGAACTGTTCACACCCGTGCAACGTACCCACTCAATGTATCAAAATGTTTTTACTCAATACTCGTCCTAAATAGTTATTGACGCATTAAAATGTTTTATAAAAACGGCTATTTTAAAATTTTAAAAAAATATTATCTTAACATAGTTTAAAAAAACAAATTATTTTTAAAAGAGTAACGCAAAATATTTAGTAGATAAAAATTATTAGATTTGTCAAACCTTCTTAGGTTACACTGTATATTTTAATCTGTAATAAGAAATAAAAAAATACCCAGTAAAATAAAATAAAAAATGGGAACTTTTTTATTTTAAAGATTCTAAAATTTTATTTGAATCTCTGCCGTAATACATATTTTTAATTATATTAAAATCGTTAAGTTAATCTTTTTTTGTATTTTTTAATTACTCGTTATTTTTGGCTGTCTGTAAGTCATTATTTTTAAATAGTTGCTCTTTAAAAAAATTTATTAAGAGTTATTACCAACTCAGTAATATTAAATAGCCTGTTTATATTCTAAAATTTTTAAAAAGTATTGTTTTTATTGTAAAATGGATGCCTTTTTTATAAACTCTATCAATTAATCATTGTAAATTTAGAGTAAATTATATAAACTTTCAATGTCCTATATTTATTTATACTTTGTACATATGTATCTAAATAAAAAATGTTTAACATATATTATATGTATTATTACATAATCTAATTATTAAATTGAAAATTATTTAATACATTATAAATAATTGTTGTTATTTGTAATATAAAAATACAAGTGTTATAGAAATAGCTGTTAAATACACTTTTTTTGCATGACCATTATATTATAATTGTTTTGGTTATCGAATTATAAAAATATATAATTGTGAATTGTGAATAAATATTGTAAATAATATAAAAATTAAATAAATTCGAAGTGTTTAATAAGTGCGCATTTTTAATACTCGTATTAAATATGATTTAAACTGAAATTTTGTGTAAAAACTACTAAGTAGTGAAATAGTCCACTTTTTCAATCATTAAAATAAATGACACATTAAGACTGATTATTCATAATCTTATAAAAATGTTTGTTAAATTAAATCAATAAATGAGTAAACGAATTACTTAATTCGAAGAATATTTAATAAACTACCATAACCTTAGCAGGGGCGTATGCAAAAATAAGGTTTTAAGATTTTAACCCTCCCCGAAATTAGTTTAACTATATAGTGGAAGGTGTGGTAGGCAAAGCTCCCCGCGGATCTATTTTCAACATATATTTAATACCCTAACCGAACCTAAATCATACGCATGATACTGATTCTTAGTAATAATTAAATAGTGGTTTAAAAAAAAAGTAAAGGGTCAAATGTTCACCAAAAATATATCAAATTATATGTAAATACCCGAGGTATCTATAAAAAAAAAATTGTATTGATACGTTCATTTTTCAATAAGTTATAGCAATTTTTAGAAGAAAAAAAGTGAAAAAAAAATGTCGCAATTTAACGATTTTTAAAATCGTAATTTTTGGGTGGATTCCCACCATTTACGGAAATGAGGGAAATATTCTTAATTTTTGAGGGTAATATTTCACAGCATTACTAAAAGATCGTTAGCACTACTAGTACATACTGATCAGTGAGTGGTCATATAGGGAACGATTATTAAATTGATAAAAAATATTGTGTGTATAGCGTTCACCATGACAGCAAAAGTACAGTTTTCTGATTACACGGCCGGATATAACGTACTCGCGGCCATTAGCAAAGCAAAACGTTAACTTTATCTATACCATAAGAAATAATAATAGATATAAAGGTTCACATTTTGTCACGTTACAAATCATACTCTCATGAATATTCTACATACAGAATAATATCGATATTTCACGTATACCAGGCGTTTGACAACGGCTTACATATTTTTGTCAATCAGATTATTAATTTAGAAAATAAGGATTTTAGATATTTGAATAAACTTGTTAATTAATTGCTCGTTAAAATAATTTATTTTAATAATAGAACAGTGTTTTTTTTTTTTTATTAATCTCTAAAATTAAATGAATTAAAATAGATAATTTTCCAAATGACGTATATTAAATTGAAATTTATATAAATATATATAAACATTTTAATCATAAATTATATATTGATATAATCATAAATTAATACAAAAAACAAATAATAATTGTTACAGGATGTTCAATTTTTTTTCGTAATTGAAAAACAGTTTAATCAGTTTAATCTAAATAAAATTATTAATAAAATATTACTATGTCAATAAATATATAAGCTAACTGTTTCCTATCATTTTTCTTTTTATTTAAATTAAATTATTTTTAAAAGTAATTGAAGGGGTTTAAATGTTTTATGTAAACCATTTTTGGGTATTTATATTGTCTGCTCTCCGATCTTCTGTATAGTATTTGTATACTAACACATTTACAACTAAATAATTGGTGAAACCAAAATTATTTATATTTCTATCCTATGCGATAAACTATTGACGAATGATCTACGCCATTCCAGTCATCCACAGAGTGATCTAGGAGAGATGCGAACTCAAGGAAAGAAAGCAATTGGTACACAGGATTTCAATAGGAAAATGTTCAGCATATTATAAGTCACAAAATAATTTACACGTCGCAAAAAAATTATTTAAAAAATAAAAAAAATACCCACTACATTGAAATAGATTTTTACCTCCATAAAAATATGTTATATTTTATACTCATAAATTATATTCATTACTCTTTTTTTTCCTAACAAAAATGTTATATATACTAATTAACACATTTGCATTTCTTTAAAATCTCCCTAAGTTTCAAACGAGTTATTTTTAATATTAATATTTTTTTCAATGGAATTTTACTATTTTATTTTAATATCTACTGTCGTTTTCGTATTGAAACCAACTGAAGCAATACAATCCAAAACATATAATAAGAATTATAGAAAATACATCAAAACAGTTGTGGCTTACATTCATACGCAAATTGGATCAAATCAAATGCTAAACCTAAAACTAAAACAAGATTTAGTCACTTACGAATTAGCGATAATTGGCGTACCAGATGTTTTTACACGTAACTATCGTTACACAATAGGTGTACTTAACTACAAGTACACTGAAATACTAAAAAAGTTTCTCGAATACATGAATATTATCATCGATAAATGTAATCAATTTCAAAAAATAAATTTATCGGAAAATTTTATTTGTTGTGTAACATTACTTGTAGAAGAAATAAAAAATTCCTCGGCAATGTTTGAAAATCTTCACAATGCTATGAAGTTTATAAGCTACATAGACATAAAGTTTTTGTTTTTTGTAGGCCGCGTGATGCATCCTATAATTGATGAAATTTACTTTTTCCATCAATTTGTAAAAATATTAGAGACCAACAATATTGTTGACATTAATATAATACCAAATCTTGATGATTCTAAAACGAAATTAGAGAATATTACCAAATTTTATGAAGACGGATTACAAATAGTAAATAATCTTTTTAAATATAGTAATGTCACCGACATTTCTAAAAATACTGATTTAGAAAAAAAACAAACTCAGAAATGCTCCAACGATTCAACAATTAAAATTGTAAACTGTTCTAACGAGTTAAACTTTGAAATTGTTTATTCTACATGTAGTAAACTTAATTCGTTTTACAATGAAACCATAGAACTTTGGTATAAAAACCTTGGCTTTGAACATTTTCTTAACCCAAAAACACCTGAGTAAGAATTCCTATATTTTATTTTCTAATATTATATTTCAATTTAATAACTTTATATTTATTGAAAATAGAAGAAATTTATATTTAAAGCTTATTAATTGTACCATATGTTCAGTGATTAATTTATTGCAGATATACTAGAGTTCTTCCATCATCCACATTTTTCAATGGTGAATCCATCCTGATGATAATATCTCCGCTAATTTAGTTAGGGTGCTAAGTATATTTACTGGACCACAAAGCTCTGATGGGGAACGATCTATCTGGTTTTTGAAGTTTCACGCGATACATATCCTTCTGTTCTTTTTTGCATTGATATACGAAATATATTCTATACAACTGTTGTATTTGGAACTAGATTTTATTTTATCATGTGGTTAATTTTTATTTAAATATATATATTAACCCAGCGAGTGCTATTTAAATTGTGTTTACCTGTCCTTTAATACACGTAAAGCATTTACGCAAATACTGTGCTAGAATATAGTAAATCTATATGAAATATGTCTTAAATAATTTTAAAATAATATATATTTTTATTCAGGTTTTGCTACGACTTTTGTTTCGTATTGTAATATAGAATAATTTTTAGCGGTATTATATTTATTAAATTATATTTTATTATGTGTCCTAATAAATAAATAACATAAACTTATTTGTACTACATATCCACAAGTGTTAAAATTTATAAAAATAATATTCTGAAAAATTGTTATTTTTTTAATTTATCAAATTATAATAAGTCTGTTCCGAATTTTATTTATTTGTATTCTTTAATATTTTAACATTATAGGAAATTTCTATTTTTTTCATCATTTTTAAAAAATTAACCTGAATTTAAATGTTTCATTATTAATACTTACATTTATACGTTTACGTAGTAATTATAATATTTTTGATTGAAATAGTTTCACACCTCCAAAAGATCCAGAAATAAATCAAAATGATGGAATTGATGCTCTCAATATTCTTCGTCTGGAAAACGGTTGGCAATCAATGAAATACATAAATATAGTTTATTATGATAAACGCTTCAACGTAGATTCAATATTAAACGACAAAATTAATGACGTAAATTTTCGAATAAAAAGAGATCACGTAAGTCAACTATTAAGATGTAAATATACAGAAACATTAAAAAACTACCAAACATTATTATCTGCTTTATTGTTAATATGCAAAAAAGATTCAATTGAGTACCAAAACAATTGTTTAATTGAAGTATTTAAATCATTCAAGAAATCTAAAAGAATGCTTAAAGGGTTGTATAATGCTTTAATTACGTTAAATAAATCATCAATATGGATTGTTAATTATAACTCTCATTCGAGTTTACATAGAATATTAAAGTGGGTTGTATATGGTCTCACTTTATTAAAGAAAAATAACTTTTCTCAAATTGATTTTATCGATCAAGATAACAATAAAAAAATGAATGAAATAATTAAAGAACTTCTGGACATTTTTCAAAAATATCTTAATGACTTATGTTATGAGATTAATTCCTTCACAAGTCGTTATGAAACGTGGTGTCATTTTACAGAAAATCATGTTTTTGAGAAAAACAGGATAATATATTTTTTCAAGACGTCAATAATTACATTGAATAATACAAATATTACAAAGGAAATTGATATTTATCTAATTGCGTGTCGTTCTTTCGAAAATTTTTGTGAATATGTTTACAATAGTTGTTATGAAAATCTGGGTTTCCGAAAAATTAACTGTCGCAATAAGAAATTGGACGAAAGACTTAAACCATTTATAGTTGATTAGATATAAGTTTGATATTATAATAGGTTTCAACTACAAAATTAAATAAATTTACTCTGTAATTTATTGTTTTTTTCACTTTATTTGTGTGTGTTACTACCAGTCTATAATATTCCAATTTTTTTGGTAACATGTTGCTATATAAATCATAAGTCTAAGAAAAATTATTTTTAGTTTCACCTGAATTTAACAAAATAATTTTACAATTATAATCAAATTTTATATTAAGTAGATTTTTTTAACAACATATTGATTGGTTTTTTTAGTTAAAGTAAATCATTAAAATTAATGAAGTTCTCAATATTTTAATTGTAGAATCTTTTTAAACACCAAGAGTTACTTAGAAATGATTACTACGATATCTATTTAAATCATTTATTGTGATAAAAATGCAAATATAACTGAGCTTATCTGATAAATTTACTCTAATTTATCTGACTACATATTAATCTTAACATTACAATTTGTGTTATACTCATAAAATATTCTATTTAATGATGTCAATTTAAAACTTACAAGTTTAACTAAAAGCTATGGTAACAAATTCATCTTTTTTTTACTTAACTTTTAAATAAACTTTCACAAAACTTTATCAAAACTTTTTCATTAACTTTAAAGAACAAAAAAAAATAGATTAAAAATTAAATTTTGCACTGATTATTTTTAACAAATTAAAAATCAAAATCAGTAATAATTTAAAAACAATTTTTTATTTTTTAATTATTACTTTATATGTAATTAGAAATAATATCAAAAATTAGAAGTGATAAAAAAAGTCAAACTGCAGTTTTTGTATGCCTTTGTTTTTTAAAAGGGAAAATTCTAAATGGAAACGATATTTAAAGGTAAAGGTGACATACAGGAGTGTAGAAATTATATAGGCATAAATCTTATGAATCATAGTATGAAAATTTGGGAAAAGATAATAGATAAGAGAATAAGAAATGAGACATCGGTATCTAAAAACCAGTTTGGATTTATGCCTGGTAAGTCAACAATAGAGCCAATATTTTGTGTGAGGCAACTAATAGAAAAGTTTAGGGAAAAGAAGAAAAAGCTGTGTATGGTATTTATAGATTTAGAGAAAGCGTATGATAGAGTACCAAGAGAGGTTCTAAAGTGTGCTTTAATGAGAAAAGGAGTCCCGAAAAGGTACATTAATATAATAGAGGATATGTATGATGGCACTTGTACTAGGGTAAAAAGTGTGGGAGGAGTAACAGAAGGTTTTCGGGTAAGAGTAGGAGTGCACCAAGGTTCTGCTTTAAGCCCTTACTTATTTTCTATAGTGATGGATGAAATTACTAGAGAAATACAAGGAGAGGTGCCGTGGTGCATGTTGTTTGCTGACAATATAGTGTTAATGGGAAAAAATAGGGAGGAAATTAATCAAAAGCTACAGATGTGGAGATCAGCTCTTGAAGAAAAGGGTTTAAGAATAAATAGGAGTAAGACAGAGTATATTGAGTACGAGTTTGATAAAGAATACGAGGTAGGTGAAATAAGGAGATCAGTGACAAAAAGCAATGACGTGATAGGAGAGGTGGAAAGTTTTAAGTATTTAGGATCAGTTGTGCAAAAGAGCGGTGGTATTGACGAGGATGTAAGACACAGGATTAAGTGTGGGTGGTTGAAGTGGAGAGAAGCGTCTGGTGTCATATGCGATAAAAGAATTCCAATGAGGCTGAAAGATAAATTCTATAAGACTGTAATAAGGCCAGCTATGATGTATGGTTCAGAGTATTGGGCGGTTGATAAGAAAGTAGAGCAGAGATGAGAATGCTTAGATGGATGTGTGGAGTGACTAGAGAAGATAGGATAAGGAACAAACATATAAGAGTATAGGTGTAGTGTCAATCATGGATAAAACGTGAGAAAATAGACTTAGATGGTAAGAAGAGTTATAGAAATTAATGTTGAATGTAGAAGAGGTAGAGGAAGGCCAAAAATGAGATGGAGGGATGCTATTGAATGCGAATGAGGACTGCTGATGTGAGCGTAGATGATGAAGGGCGATCGTGTCAAGCGGAAATTTAGGATAAGGATGGCCGACCCCAAGTAGTTGGGATTAAGGCGAGGAAGAAGAAGAAGAAGTCCAACTGCAAATTTGAAAACAGCGCGAAAAATTGATTTAGAAAATTCTATTTTTGTTTCTGATGAAAGTTCCTTGTAGTCCAGTATATTTATTCATAAGTAACAAAAAAATTTTTATTGAAAAGTATTGCATCAAACCCTTTAAATTTTTATACGCGTTAAAAGTAAAGGAATATACAACTACTTCATTATTTTTATAATATATCCAAATAAATTACAATATTAAATTATTGAATATCAATTTCAAACTAAATTTAATTGTTATAATTAATATTTATTCATATATTATATTTTTAAGTCAAAGAACCACTAATCAGGATATAATTGAGAAAATAGGAGTTGATATTGCTTTTGTAATTATCCATCAATTTTTTAGAATTAAACGACACGCTAGTGGTAGCTAAAGGCGTCATGACCGCCTGAATCCAGCAGGGGGGAGTGGACTTAGTCTCGCCCTGAACAAGACCGAAGGAGATCTATTCACAGGCAGGTACAAGTTCACTCCTCAACGAGTCGCCGTGTTTGGGTTGGAAATCCCGCTTGAGGACTCCATGACTTATCTGCGCTTGGTCGTAGACAAACGTCTAAAGTTCGGGCCGCATATTACCCGTGAGGCCCAGCAGGCCCAGAAAGTCATAAACAGCCTGGCGGGATTCATACTTAGTCAGCGTCGTACACTCGGTCCTCCAGTACAGGTTCCAGGTTTCGGCGGATACTCTTGAGTATTCGTGGAAGCTTGTCCAGGCGTTCGCTGAATCCATCTTAAAAAAAAATGAGGATGCGCAATACCTAAGACAGAAGCAGCCACGCCACCTTTGAGAGCCCGTACCCGCTATTTATTTACTACTAATGAGATAGTAATTTTCTTATACATAAAAAAATCTTACTATAATTTAACTACAGCGCCGCTGTAGTTTACTCAGTCAGTTTAATACTAAATAAATAATAAGATTAAATGTTATTCACACGACCTTGACAAATAAATGAATTGTGTAGTTTAAAACACAGTTGTATAGGATTTCAAACAAAAGTAAGATTTTAGTACCAGGATTTCATGAGGTACGGTGTCACGGTTTTACATAATTAATATCGATATCGATATTTTATAAAAATGTTTACAATATTGTACCAGGAATTTATAAGGAGAAATGTGTAAGAAAATTTATCCAAGCGTCTCTAGGTGGTGTCTTTAGAGCGTCCAGTTTCTTGCTGATGAACTTTAAGTGGCCGCCAATAATAATTATTATTGGCGGCCACTTATAATCTTATAATCAATAAGATGACTTGAATAATTTTGTTACCGATCGACGATACTCATGAATTCCTGGTACCAAATTTTAATCTTGCGAACTTCCAATAAAATGTTAAAATGCGATGTCCATCCGTTATGTGTTCTAGAACTTAAAATTTCGCCATGTCAGTTGCAGCTTTCACAATGTACAAATATCAGTTCGGTGTATTCTTGCATCGTGCTGACTCTTTTAATCGCTCATTGGACACCAGAAAACCGCAGCGATAAGTCACGGGGGCTAAGATATCACACCTTTTCATACAATCATTGTATTGCAATGTATCACACCTATAGAATACACAGATGCATTAGTACACATATGTAGTTTTATTATATATATCTATGATAATATGTCATAAAGTAGATGTCTACACAGAACAGATAAAAACATCTCTTTGGTAAAATTTTTCTATAACAACATATAACTATGTTCTATAACTACAACCATTATGTAGAATAGATATTTTTCTCTACAACCAAAAAATTAGTTGTCACCAATTGTTTTGAGTGATGAAATTCGAGACAATTGCATATTCGTAGTATTGACTTACTGTAGCAATTGTAGTAACTCTTATTATTTTGTGGTAACTATTATCATTTGATTATTACATTGAGATAACTCATGTTCAATATTGCAATCCAAATTCTTTTAAACTGTTTATAGAAACATTGCTTGTTTTTGGGCATGCTTTATATTTTTCCTTATTTCTTTTTTATTCTCAATTAATAATTTATAAAAAAAATGGATCAAAAAACATTTGATGATGCTATAACTGAAACAATGGAATTACTGGATATGAGTTATTCTGAAGCGCTAACTGACACCATAAATCAATTTCAACAATTGGTACTTACCTTCCACCGGTTAATTTATTATTAATATTTTGATTTTTCCCCAAAATACTTAAAAATATATATTGAAATTTGTATTTCTTTAGGGTATGGATATGTCTAAAATAAAAATTAAATTAGAACTAGCTGATGGGCCATTACCATCTGCTCTGAACAAGTTAAAGAAATCTATTGAAATAACTCATTGGAATGAAATAGAAATAAATACAATTGTGGATAGTTTGAAAACAGTTGAAAAAGAATGTATAACTAATGAAGGACAACGTTTATCTAAATTTAGTGGTGCATTTGAAATTATATGCAGCTATCTCGAAAGATTGACAGATTTTAATAATGATCATAAAGTTCAATTTATAAAGACCTTTGAAGCTCTTTTATCTGGTATTATGTAAAATTATAACATTCTGAATGTGTACTATGATTATAAATTTAAACTAATATATTTTTTAAACAGTGAAATATATATTTATAAATTTCAGATTTCTAGTTAGTATTTTTACTTCTTATTTATCACTATATTAGATGATTTAGCATATTCTCGTTAAAAACTTTTAATGTTTATATATGATAGCAATAATTTATACTCCTCCAATTTTTTATATAAAAACAATTTTATTAAATGTAAGAAATATAAAATCTAGTATCTAAGTTTTTTTTTAAACAATGAGTTTTAAACTGTTAAATAAATAATAATCCAGTTTATAACATAATTATAATTTTAGGGGGAAAGCAACTTATTTATGGTAAAGCATTAGACATTATGGTAGATATGTTAAAGAAAACTGAACATGAAGGAATCCTAAATGCTCTATTATCTTGGTTCAAAGTCATAAGTGTAACTGAAGATGAAAGAGAAGTAAAATATCTAAAATTATTTCTGTTATTTTTATTTTAAATAACTTAATTAAAATAATTTTTTATTTTAAATTAATTGTTTTATGTATTTTAAGGAATTACGAATTATTGGTTTAAGCGAAATTCTCAAAAATATTTTACTCATTAATTCCTCTAACAAAGAAATCATCAGTTCAACATGTCAGTTAATTAGAGCTCAGATAAGAGAAGATAACTGCAGTGGGGATTTCTCCAACGCTGGAGAACGATCAAGACTTTTAGCATGCGATGTTTTAGAACAATTAATTATTATTATGAAAGGTAAATAGTGTAATTTTAGAATTTTTTGTATTTTAAATTTGAAAAAATCTTAAAATTACTTTTTTCTATAGAAGATTTTATATTAGAATCTGAAGATGTAACTAGTGAGATATTTTTCACATTAGCAACAATCATTGTTCGGTTTGAGTTTTGTCGTAAATTTAATGAAAGTGGAGGTTTGACTAGAATAAAACTTGCTATGGAATATCATACAACTGTGGTATTTAGTATATTTAGTTCTATTTAGTAAATACGAAACTTTATAATTAGGGGCGTAATATAAATTATAATATAACATAAAAATATTACCTTAAACTACCTTTAAATTCTTAGTTTCAATACTCATAAATCAAGGGTCTAAAATTAAAAGAATGTATCCTATACGTACTTCCTTATCTCAGTATTAGTTTATATACTATTATATCCTTATTAATAATTTAATAATTTAAATATTTTATTCTAATTTATTTATATGAGTACTAAAACCCATGTATCCCATTTTCACATATTCTGTAAATTTATACTGACCGTCCAATTATTAGTATTAAAAGTCTTAATTAATATTTTCTTATTTTATTAACATTGAATTAATATCATTTTTTTATAATTGTAATAGAAATTGAATACACAATCATTTAGATTATTGAAATCACTAGCTGGAGATGATTTAGTTAAAGATGATATTAGAAAACATGGACTATGTATTCATATTTTATCGGCTTTACAAAGACATATAGTAAGATAAAAAAATTTTTTTTAATGATAAGTATCACTTATTAATACATAAATATTTATTTAGAATAATAAACCATTATGTATAGAAGCTATGAAATTAATTACTACTTTGTGTCTACGATCACCTCAAAATAGTACTGAACTTATTGGGATAGGAGTTGCTGAATTGATTGTTCAGGCCATGAAAGTTCATTCAAATGATTATAAACATCAAGTATATTTAAAACCCCTAATTTCTGTTACAATTTTTACTATTACAAAAATTATTTTCTAATAATTTAACAATTCACATATTGAGCTTTTAAAATGTTAATTGTTAAATATCTTCAATTTATTTAAATTTATATCCTTCCAAAATAGAATAAATACTGGTATATCATTTTTAAATCCTAGCATTTAAATAGGGAAACTTATTTTTAAGTATAATTATTTAAAAATAAAGTAAATATTTTTATACTTAAAAATAAACTTATAATAATTCAAATGTTATAGAATTATCACAATTTCAAAATTTTCAAATCCTCTGCTCTTTCCATATTTTTTCAGATTATTTTTAAATTTTTAATACCTTACATTAACAATATTTTCGGTCTTGTAGAAACTGTGAACAAACAAGTATTTTAAAAATTTTGCTATTGTGTTATAACAAAAAAAATGTCTTACCTTATTTACTGTTTTTAAATGCAAATTATATTTATTAAAAATTAATCCACCTATTTTAAACCCTGTGAATTTGGTTACATTTATGTTTTAGATGAAATCTTTTTAATATTATTAAAAGAAAAATGAATAAATCATAATTTAATAAAGTTTTTTTAGCAACATGCGTGTACAGCTATAAGAAATATTGTTTCAAGAAATCGAGAATTGGCATCAGAATTTTTAACTTTGAATGTTGAAAGTATTATTGAAAAAATCATCGCTCAACATAAAGAATGTGAATTTGAAGCAAAGAGTGCTTTGAGAGACCTTGGATTAGAAGTTAAATTCAAAGAACAATGGACTGGTAAAGGTCAAAATTTAACACAATAAAAAAATTTTTTCAATGTTATTATAGATAAAATAAACATTGTTTGATAACATTACTAACTTATTTTTTTTACTTTAATATATGATTTTTTTACTTATTATTGTTTTATATTTTATTATATTATATGTCAATTTTGAGTTATATATGTTTAGCTATAATAAAAAATATTTCCTACATAATACACTATTAGAAGCATGCCCAGAATTAAATTTAGACTAAGCCTATTTATAATTATAATTTGGATCTATAGTACCAAAGCTAGATCACTCTATGAACATTTTGAAAAAAAAAATTTTTATGGTTGTTTGAAGATAAAACTTTTTAAACTTAATTATCTTAAAACAAAGTTTTTAGATTTACTACACTATCCATTTGGATAATATATTATATATATTGTATGAAAATTAGATAAATTTATCTATATATTCATTAATACAATAATGTAATGTAGTATTTCTTTACACTGCATTAAAAGGGTCGCAAAGTAATTATTTTAGATCAATATATGGTTTAAATAGGAATAAGCCTATGAAAGAAATCATTAAAATAATAGCCAATTAATATTTCGCCATGGTAAAAAGGTTGAGCAACTCCTACTTCTTCTTCTTCTTCCTCGCCTTAATCCCAACTACTTGGGGTCGTATCCTACACTTCTACTTGACACGATCTCCCACATCATCATCAGTGTTGAGCAACACTGATTTAATATACTACTTTAAGTAATAGAAATCGAATAACAAACTATGAATTATTATAAAAATTAAATAATACCAATCGTGAAAATTTACTTAAATTTTATTTTTTGTAATTTTATAACAAACAAGTCATTATTTTAACAATTAATTTATAGTAGTTGAGAATTTTTAAAAATAAATTTAATAAAATATATGATAACTCAATCACATTATATTATAAAGAATCTAAGTAAGGTGTACTGACTATATTTCCATAACCACCTAATGATAACTTGTTATTAGCAACATAACTTGCTGCTTTATTTACATCATCAAAACTAACTGATTCTATAGCAGAAACTAACTTTTCAATATTTTGTACTTGACCTGTAACAGCTGCTTCATAAGTAATATGTTTCAACAAATCTGAGCTTGATTCAGAAGTTGATAATAAAGATAAAAGTAACTGTTTTTTAGCTCTAGCTACTTCTGTGTCCGTAATTTTAGGTGACTTTAAACATTGTACTGCAGCACTTATAGCTTTGCCAGAGTCACTTCCATTACAAGCCAATAGAAAACCAAAAAGTCCAGAATCTGAATAATTAAAGTTCACAGCAGAAATAGCAAAATTACTAGATATATTAGATTTTAATATGTTTTGTTCTAATACTCCTTGGCTAACACCCCATTTTACTGATGATCCTTTGCCTAACAAATATTCTAATACAGCAAATGCTGCTTTTAGGGGATCACCATAACTAACACCTTCACCAACTACAGCAATGTATGCAGCATTTAAATCATTAGCTTTCCTCACATCACCACCATAATATTTGGCTTTAGATGCATCAGAACTATTTTTAGGCAAGTTGAGATCTTCAGATACATGTTGTAATGTTTCTAAATCTATTCCAACACTTGAAATAATAGCTTTGTCTGATGTAAAATGTTTTTTAACATAGTATAATAAGTGTTCAGAATTTAAATTTTTCAAGTTATATTTTGGTAAGAACATAGAATTTCCAAGATTATTTCTGTAAGCGGCTTTGTGAGCTAAATCTAAAGCTCTCATCTCTGGAGGTATTAATAATAATTCATATTCTACACGCTTTTGATTATCAGTCAATTCCCAAGGTTTAAATGATTGAAGTGAAATAGATTCAATAAAGTATTTAAGTCCTTCAACAAGATTTTCCTTGTGGGCTTCAATGGTATAGGTGATTGTTTCCCTGTCAGAACTAACAGTAAAATTAGCTCCTATATGCCCTAAATTTCTTAAAATTGCAAACGTAGATGAAGATGAAGTTGTAAGACCTGCAGAACTACGAATTAAACTAGAAATACCTGAATTTTCGGGTTCTTCATAACGCGATCCTGCCAAAAATGTTACTGATATACGACCAATATTAGTAGGATGATCTGGAACAGCAACAATCAATGTATTATTTGATAATCTTTTACTTTGAATTTCAGAGTTCTTTGAAGAATAAGTTAAAGCTTTAGTAACATAACTGCGTTTAGTAAGGTTGATGAGAATTGGAGTTTTTAATGTTGACAAAGCCATTTTATAATATAAGGTAAATTTTAATTAATTTATTTCTAAAAAGAAAAATTGAGGAAAATTTTCCGAATTTTTATAGATGATAGAACGTAAACATTATTTCTTTAAAATTTGATAGATGAGAGGACATTTGAAAAAATAATTTCTCATATCATATACACTGATTAATAAACAGCTGCTTTACAGTTCATATCATTCACTTGCAACATCTTTGATATAAAATGAAACTATTTTATTTAATTATATTGTTTAGCATTTTTTAACAAAAAAATAGAATTTGAAACTTTTTAAAATATTTAAAAATTTTAAATTATTGTCATTTACTTAAAAATTAGTATTTTAGTCAACACAACTTTTTAAAACAATATCGTATGAACTAAAGTATGTATTTTGTAAATATCAAGGTAGTAATAACAATTTAAAGAGAAATACAGGTTAATTCAACTGTCTGCGAGTCTTAGCCATAGATATATAAACTTTTAATGTTTTTATGTAAATAGATATAAAAATGGTCAAATGTTTCAGATATTACGATTTTTTCAAAAGAGACTTAAATGACATTTTTTGCTAATTCCACTTATTTACGATTTTATTACTATCTTATAATTTAAATGAATTATAAGCAATTTTAAATATTTGGCAGTTGTGCATTCACCACAACATAAAATGGCAACACTGTTATTAGGTAGCTTGCTTATCTGTCTATAACAGATAAACTATTAAAAATTATGTTTATTAAAACTTAACGATTTTTCATGTTTGAAAATTCTTTTATTATTAAAATTTGATGTTTTATTCATATTTCAAGTTTAATCGTTATTAATTCAAATTTTGTACAGATAATTATAATGAATCCTGACTCTGATGATAACCGAATGATAATCGGCGAACCATTGGCCAACATAAATAAATTAAAGACTTCTGAAAACATGAACATTAGTGTCGCATTCAAAGAAATTGTTAATAAAAACTCTCCTAAATTTACAGAACTTTGTGATGTAGTTAATAATACTTTTGATGGTATTGTTAATTGTGTAAGGTACTACAATATTTAATAATTCCATAATTATTATATTCATCAATTAATTATATTTCTAAAAAATATATTTTGTACAATTTTAGACCAAAATGTTGATGATATTAAGGTATTATATAACAATGAAATACCTTGATATCAACAATGTTATAAGTATAATATCCCATGATGTTCTGATAAATCCACATACATTTTTTATAGCAAATTAACAGAACATTGCAGGACACTTATATATTAGTAGGTGAATCGTTATTATTATTAATGTGTAATTTCAAAATGAATTATTTTATATGTACTTAGGAGTTACATGTTAAGTCACAATATAGTACATATTTTTTTATTTTGCATTTCCATACCATAATAACACCGTAAATAACAATACTTCTACCTATTTTATAGTAAAACTAAAAAAAAAAAAAAAGAATAAATTATATTACTAAAGACTTGTAATTCTATAGTTAGTGTAAATATCAAAATTACGTTATTATTTTGAATCATACCTATTGATTGAATTTTGGACGTCTTTTCTATGACATAATTTTTCTCATATAATCTACTTCAAAGTACTTTTATCTATACTCATCAAATTATTTATTATATACTTGTATTTTAATGAATTTATTATCACTTTTTAGCTTATGGTTATTACATAATTTTTTTATTAATGGTATTAAATATATTCTATTAACAATTAATTAATTTTAGTAGATTTATTAGAAACTAAACCAATATACTATTTTAACCATTTTCAATCATAGATATAACATTATTTTTTAGTCTTGAAGAATTCAAACATTTGCTTTGTGAAATTTCATTTTTAAAAAATAAAAATAATGTTACAAGACTTTTTTCTACTTTGAAAACAAACATTTATAGTACCATGAATAAACAATTCGAAGAAATAACTCAAGATGAAAACTTGGCAGAATTATTTTCTAACAAAAAATCATTAACTGAAATGGAAGCTGAGTAAGAATTTTATAGTTTTGAAGTACAAAATTCTAACTTGTTAAATTTTTTAGGAAGTATGTTATAGATGACGATTCTTTAGAAATCATTGCCTTAGAAGAGTCTTTGAGCAAACTTGATAAAAAAATTAATGAATTAGAAGAAACTAATGAGATTTTATTTAATCAAGGAAAATTTAACAAACAATGTTATAATCAATTAGTTGATAGAATAGATAATCTTATGAAAAATTGTGAAACTAAATATGGAGATTTTGAACAACAAACAGATCTCATAAGGAAAGAATTTGCCAATTTATTAAAAGACATTTGAAAATTAATTTTATTAATAAATTGTTTTATTTAAACAATTAATTTTATATGTAAAACATTATAAACGATTAATTAAATTAATATTTTTATTGATAAGTAATTTTTACTATTGATTTAATGAATTTATCTTTTACAAATAAATTATTTATCTTTATTATTTTTTGACAAAAAAATTATTTTAATTTAGTCTTCTGCATTTGTGTCTAATATGGGTTATGAATGATTTTTATATAAAACCTAACAAAGTATATTTAATAGACTATTATGAAATAAAATTTATTCATACAATTAAAATTTTTGATTTACTATTAAAATATATCTGATATTTAAAAAATATCAGATTTTATCAAAGGAAAACGTTGGCCAAGAACTAAGATTTTGCAACAACAAAATTTTATTATTACTATAATAACTATTTCTTTAAGCAAATAATTTAAGTAATGCACTAATGGTAGATAATGAAATATTTTTATCAATACTTCATTTATTTAGAGAATTGACATTTTTGTACAAATATTATTAAAATTATTTTTTAATTTCTTAAATAAGAATACTTGAAGAATTATTGAACCATTAATAAAATTATATATGGTAAGTTATTAAATATTAAATTGATAACAAACAATGAATTTATGTTATAAGATGAAAGATATAAATTTAATAGGTTATCACATAAATTTCATGATTAAATAATATCCTGTACCAAGGCCATAATATCATCTTTTAAATAAGGATGTTCATAATCACTTTCTGGAATATCACTTTTATACAAAAGAATAGAAGCTGGTACTAGGCCCATTTCCATTAAGCTCATGTTTTCTTCTTTTTTATCAAAAGTTTTTCCAGCAGGTAATGCTAATTTAAAATCTTTTTCTTCATCAAAAACACTTTCTTTCACAAATTCTATCACTTCAGAAAAATGTTCCTTGACACTAAATGTTCCCTAAAAATGATGTGCTAATTTTAAACTATACTTAGTAGATTAATAATAGAGTACAGTAAAAAAAACTTAAATAAAGTCTTAAATATTTTATTTTGTAATTTAAAACAAACCAACCTGTAGAATCAAACAATCTGGAAACTTCACTCTAATCAAACAGTATTTATAGTTGAATTTGCTTTTATTTTGCTCCTTCATACGCATATTTTTTGTTTTAAGAATCATGTCATTTTCCAAATTTTCAGTTCTAATAACAAAAAAATTAATTAACACTATTCTTAATACATCTATTTTAAACTGATTAAATACCTTTTCAATTGTTCTGCTTTTATTTCTTCTGGGGTCATTATAAAGAATTCTGAGGGAAGTGAAACTTTTTTTGATGCTTGTGATGGCAACAAAACTTTAACATTTCTATCCAACACTAACTGAATTCTTTCTGCAGACTGTAAATCATCTACCATAGTTTGAACTAGAGCTAAATTTTGTAAACTATCTTCTGGGAAAATTAAAAACTCTTCTAGTTGATCTTTATAGGGAATAGTTTTTCTCACAAACCCAATAGATTCTAAGAACTCCAAAGCTCCCTTAATTGGATATACTCTTTCCATGAATGTCTTATTAGATATTCTTATTTTACGATACTTTTCCTCGTCAACATTTTTAATAATATTTTCTGCATAAGTAACCAGTAATTTAATGCATTCTTCAACCTTTATAAATAAATAATACTTGATTAGATAAAAATCTCAATAGTGAAACAATTAATTATCTTGAAAATATAATTTTGAATAATAAATGAATATTGAAAGTAATTTTTAGTAAATTTACTTAAAAATGTTTAATTATAAATCTTACCTCTTGACTAAACAAGTCTAATATTATTTTAAAATTTTTATATTGAAATTAAGGTAATTTTTAATTTTTTGTATTGTATAAAAATACTAATTCTAATAGTAAATTTAAGTAAACAAACATGATTTAATTAAAAAATTTTATATTCATTGATAAATAAGAAATGGGATATATTTAAGAAACTAATTTAGATAGAAGCTTTGTGATAAAAATAGAAAAATCATTTTGAGTTTTGTACTTTTCTATCTTGAGTAAACTTAATTATATAAAATAAAAATTTACCAAAAAAAACGGTAGCACAGTAGGGTCACGGCACAGTGTAGATGTGGCAAAGTTGAGACAAGTATAGATGTTATCTGACAGTAATTAAAATCACTATCATAAGAAACGCTTCGATGCAAATCTGTAGATAGTGTTTAATTTTAAAAAATTGATGGATTATTCAAAAAGCAAAATGAATTCTTATTTCCTTATTTATATCCTGATTAGTAGTTCTTAGATTTAAAAGTGTAATTTATAAATAAATATTTGTAATACCAATTAAATAGAGTATGAAATTGATATTTAATAATTTAGTGTTGTAATTTTTACAGGGAAATTATAAAAAATTATTAAGTAGATATTACTTTTATAGCTAACATGTATAAAAGTTGAAGGGCTTGATGCAATACTTTCAAAAAAAAATTGTTTATTACTTATAAATATATTTATTGGTCTACAAGGAATTTTCATCATAGACCAAAATATACTTTTCTAAACCCATTTTTGCATCTATTTCAAATCTGCAATTAAAGTTTTGCAAAATCCTTCTAATTAATATAACAAATATTTATATTTGATTATTATTTTATGTATAAATAATCAATAAATATATTTTAATTAAAAAATACATAACAAGCAGAATGTATTATGTGCAGTATATTGATATGAATAATTGTTTAAACATCAAGAGTTGCATAGAAATGCTTACTAAGACTTCTAAAATGATTTATTGCAATAAAAATAAAATAAAACATTTTTATAAAAATTTTGAGTTTTCCATCTATATTTACTGTAAATAGTTATTATTTTACTGATCACATATCAATCTAAAAAATAGAATACTTTATTCCACAAATTTTTCTATTTAATGATATAAATTCTAAACTTGCAAGTTGAACTAAAAGTCCAAGCGTATAAGACTGTAAAATAATTATAATTAAACCATAGGTAAATAATATTTAAAAAATTTAGTTATTGATTTTTATTTTTTTATTCAAGATAAAAATTTTAAGCAATACAAAATTTCTCGCACAATTAATTTTTAATTTTACTAAGATACATTGTAAATAATGTTAATTTTAAAATTTTTAATGTGTTTTTAAACAAATACTGAAACATACACATTTATAATTTTATTTTATTAAACATACCTTAGTTCTATCCTGATTAGAATTTTGTATAAGCAAAATTGATTGTAACATAGGATCATCTTTCATCTGTTCTTTGATAAATTCTTCAATTTTCACATGCCATTCCTGTTCTGATAAAACTTCTAAACCTGTAGTCCAATTAAATCAAAATTAGTTAATTGATAAAAACAATTCATTTTTTGTTTTCAAACCTATCATAGGACATTGGAAAAATACTCCATTAGCAGCTAAAGAACCAGAAACTTCACTTGTAATATTAATTGTTTCTAAAACTGATGAATTATCAGAAATTATTTCATTTTTTTTTTCAGCTTCTAATTCTCTCCTAGCTCTTGATTTTATTGCAGCCAAAGATCTATCAAATATCTTATGATAAAATTATCATTTATTTATAAGGTATTATTACACTTACGTATTAATAGGACAATTAGATGACTTCTTATTCTCAAATCTAGCCAAAGCAGCTGCAGCTGCTTGTTTTGCTTCATCTGTAGGTTCAACACGACAAGATCGAGAAGTCTCCCCTACTTTATTTATATTTTTCTGTGCAGTGTCTTCATCTAATCGATGACCGGGTCCAGCTCTTTTAAATTTAACATCAGCTTTTTTTTTTTGAAAAAATTTTTTTAGTTTATCACTCATATTCTGGGAGTATATGATTTCGGTAACTTTAAATGTGAGACGTCTTCTTTCAATTCATCAACAATTTTATCTACAAAATAGTATTGAGTATAGAAAACATGTATAAAAGATAACATTTAATTGATAACTAAGTGCACATATAAATAGGACAATTTTTTTTAATAAAATTTCTGATATTATTACATTGAATTATCTTCAAAAATTTATAAGATATCAAATTGTTAGAAACTTAACTAAAAGAACTAATTATGGTTTTTAATCATCAAACAGTATCCCATTCTTATAAATAATTATGTAAGTTTAAATGTACCCCGCAGACAAGTTATCACTTAAACACATATTTATAAAAAATAAAATATTTAAAATCTTTATTAAGTCAAAGTGAAACCAACCACTTAGTAAAAATCGTTGATAAATGTCTTTATTGTACTTTGTCCAAACTAATATCAATAATAAAATTAGAACGCACTCAAAAAACACTAATGAATTAAATATTTTTACTTGAAATGGATCAAAGCTCACAAAATTTATAATACTATAAAGAATCTCTAAGAATATTAAACGAAGATCAGTAATTGAAAAACAACCATCAACTAATGAAAGTGTATACAACCGAGTAAATGTCGTCAATCCGTGTAGACAACCAACAGTTGTATCATTTGCTGGGTTTGAATGTTCTTGAAATTTCATCACAATTTCATTTATAAAAATTGAAAACAAAATTACTATTACAAAAAAAAAATGTATACAATATACAGTAAATTTATAAGATGAATTAAATGATGATTCAATAAAAACTTTAAATGGAATCGAAAATCGCAACTTTTCGATTTGTGACTGGACACAACGAGGAATTTGTAAAATACATCGATATAATAAACTATCGATATTTTAAATTTCAATTATTTATCAATTTTGATATATAAAAAAAATGATACTATCAATTTATCACGACATTTGGCAAAGATCAGTAATGTACGCAAGGATAGACATGGTTTATCCTCCATGAAACTAGTTCAGCTACTGGTTTATTATCGACCTATAGTGAAAACCCTACCTGAACTAAAATCCTATGAATGCTGTTGGTAATAATATTAATAGTAAAAAGTACATATTTTTCACAAAATTTTAATAAATATGTAGTTATTTCGTGTAATACGACTGATCTATACTAAATGGGGCTTATTAATAAGCTTATTTAATAAAGTTGTAACCAGAGCTGGAAGGTTATGTTACTATTATAAACTACAGCCTTATGAATAACTAATTTAAAATCAATTATTTTACAATATTCTACACACTAATTTTTTTTTTGTATACCTTATGGAAAATTGTTTTTTTTTATTTAAAAAATGTTATAACTTTTCGTTAAAATATAAAATAATTAGAATTGATTTATCAGAATATCCAATATCTTGTCTAGATATTATCATAGTGGTAAATAATTTTGGTCGATTTAATCATTACACAATTATCGATATTTTTGTAAGCAATGAACATCCCAATATTGATAAGCATTAACGTCAATTTAATACTATCTAGTGATGGTAAACTGCTATTTTTTTTTTTAACATCTGCTAATGTTATTGCTATTTTAAAATAGCAGTAAAAAATAGCAGCTATTGCTATTTCGTAAAAACAGCTCGTAGCATAATGCTTATCATTAATTTTTAGTTATTAGCAGCTAATGTTTATAGCAATTAGCTATTCTCATTGTTACAAACAATGAGAACAATAGAAACCCGTTTCCTGACTTACTGAACACCCTGTAGATTAATACATAGTAAATAAAACATTACTAAATAGACCAAGACATTTTTATTTTTAAACTATAAATTATTACATTGCATATTGTTTAATCTTTTATGACATTATGGAGAGATGACATATATCATTTTTCCAACTATGCCTATTTCTCTCAATGTGCATGTTCAGACAAGACTAATAAAAGCTATGTTTAGTATGTTTCATAATTAAATGTATGAATTAAAAATATAAAAATAAACAATAAAATTCCATTTCTAGACTGGTATTAACATGTTGAAATATTATACCAACTCTTATGTCTTTAAAATAATACAAATGTTAAAATGAAGCACATTCTTCTTCTACATATCATAGGGTATAGTTGATATATTTCATTGTTTGTTTTTGATAGTTTTATTTTATTTATTTAACAATGAATCGTAAGATAAGTAATATTTGGTATCATTTTACAATAATTGATAATACTAGATTTGCAAAATGTAATATTGACTATTGTGGTTTTTGTTTTTACTGATAATACTGTATTTGCCGTATTAGATATTGATATCTGGTAACTGGATAAGCGTTGATAACAAAAACATTTTAGACGCTTAACAGCTAATGCGGAATGCACATTATCAATTATCAAACGTAACACCAAGCCTGCCGCTCTATAACTTCTGCTATTTTCCATTATATTATGTGTTATAATATAGTAGCAGTGTAGCAGTTATAATACAGTGTAGACTGTTGAAAAACATAAATTACGAAATTTAGCAATCACTGCTATTATTTACACTGAATAGCAGTGCTATTATAGCTGCTACTGCTATTTTTTATCATCACTACTAGTAAGTAATCTCCGTGATATCGCAAGATACCGATCGTCTACATATTACGCCTTACCAACTCGCTGTGTTTACAACATTACCGTTGGTTTTATTAAATATTAATTATATTGTTTATCTTATTTTGTTTTTTTGTGACTATTTTCTGAAGAAAACAATATACGGCTACACGCCACTTTGTGATAAAAATAATCCCTATGTCGTTCTTTATCTGGTGTTCCACGACAACAGTCGTAACAACTGGCTCCCCGGCGGGGAATCGAATTCCGGTCTCCCGCAAATCGGGGAAATCTCCAAAAAAATTACAAATTTAAAATTACCAAATTTTTGTCATTTTTTTCTTAAAACTTCNTACCAAATTTTTGTCATTTTTTTTTCTTAAAACTTCATAATTTTTTAAAATATCAACAAATCAACATAATTTTTATACTAAAACCTTAGATGTTTCCCTTTCATTTGATATCATTTTATTTGAAAAATTATCACTTAACCTGCTAACTAAGAGGGATTTAAAATAGCAACTTTTCTACAAAAACTAAATTTTTTAACTTAATTTTTGAAAATGTTCCGGAAATACTGCGTATTTTAAACATATATCAAATTAAAGCTTATGTCATGTACTATAAAATTAAAAAAAAAAAATTTATCCCGACGACCTTCTATGCGCAAATGGCTATCGTATTCAAACATTTTTTGTATTAAAATTCTGGGTTTTGTATTTTATTTTATTTTAAAATATCTTATTAGGAAAATACATTGACTTTCATGATTATTATATAATTTAATTGACATAGAATAAAGTTCATAAGACATAAGAAATTAAACTTATTTCAATTTTTTTGCTTTTTTTAAGTCGAAAAAGTAATTTTTAAATTTGAGTTAGCTTAAATAGCCAATTTTACCAAGCAACGAAAGCAACGAACAGTTGCCTAGTCGGTAACACTTGTGTTTTGCATGCCTAAGGTACGAGTTTCTAATCTGTCTAGGACAATTAATATTTTGTATTTTTTTTAAGATAGAAAAATTTTCAAATCATTTAATATTTATCTCATTTAAATTCAATAACTTCAATAAATGTAAAGGATCCTATCACTATAGTCTCCCCTCGTGAGAATAAATTTATATTCATGATAATATTATTTTACTATGTGGTTCTTTTTGTGGCTACGATTTATTTTGCCAACCTTCACTAGACCTACTTTTTTCAACGATACGTCAAATGATTACAATTCGTATTTAGTTTAAGTTATTACTCTTAAAAATCGAAAAAATATTCCTTATTCAAATAAAAAGTAGCTTAACCAGCTTTTCCATACAAACAATTTAAATCATTCATTTCTAATATTCTTAAAGTATTTATTGTCGAATTAGATTTGATATGATAAAAGTATTCAACTACAAAAGTAAATAATTTTACTTTGTAATTTATTAATTTTTTAACTCTATTTATGTGTGCTACTACCTGTCTATAATATAATACAATTTTTTGTAACATGTTGCTATATAAATCATAAATTTAAAAAAAAAATGATTTTTAGTTTCACCTGAATTTAACGATGGATTTTTACAATTATAATCAATTGAGTAAATCTTTTTAACAACTTTGTTTTGATTGGTTCATTTAGTTAAAGTAATAGCTAGTGGTGAGACGTAAGTGTTTTATTTTTATACTAATGTAATATAGCAATAAGAAAATGAAAAATATAATAGAAAAGTAAAAAAAAGTGAAAGTTAAAGAAATATTTATATGGCCAGTTAAAGGAATAAAATAAAGTAATATGGTGTAAATTCTGATATGAAGGCCTCAGTGCTTGTAATATACCAAAAGAAAATTAAAGGACTTATTCGTAGTTAGAATAATAAGGATAATGTAATAAATGTATGATTGAATAATACAAAATAAGATAAGATAATATATGATGGAATAACATGTGTTTAAATATGGCAAAATAAGTAAGGGTGTAAAGAGTATAATGATATAAATAAATGGGGATTTAGAAATGTGATTAATGGTGGTTAAATACATTAGGGTGATGGTCAAATAAATAAAACAAACACAAACGAATATGACAAAATAGTGGATTGATCTCGGGATTAAACTATATTCAATAAATGNACAAACACAAACGAATATGAAAAAATAGTGGATTGATCTCGGGATTAAACTATATTCAATAAATGATGTTAAATATCCCTTACAAAATTGTATAAATTATCTTGATGGTTATTACGCAATAGATTGTTTATTATTTGAAAGCATAAGTTTAACTTGTACTTACCTTTTATTTTATGTAACATAACTATATTTTAAACAATCCAATGTTTAGTTTGAATTCACACTGTATTTCACACACTGTCCACTACGCATTGTATAGTCAATATGACTGTTTAGAAAAAATATTTAATTTTAAATAATACGAGATCGTAACACAAAATCTATTGCTGTTATTTATATTTAAAAGATTCTATACAATCTATATTTTTGTTATATATATAATTCAACAATGTACCCTTATTTGATTTTGTTGAATATGCATGCTTTTGGGGGACTATATTTTATTGAGAGATCGACACCAGTAGTTTTTAAATCTTCCTCTGGCCAGGCCAAAACAAGATTCAAAAATATTTATATCTATGTAGAAGATTTATCAAGGTGGTATTGTAGTGGCCTAATGTGTCCCGGCGCTAGCTCCTTGAAAGGATGCGGCACATTAATCACCAAGACAAAAATTAAACACTAAAAATATATTCGTAAGTTTCTTTGTGTTGTCTGCCGGTACGATGTTCGTTAAAACAAAGACATTAAGCTCAATGTTTAGCTACTTAATAAGAATTGTTCACAATAGATTTTTACTCTTCGTATTACAATTACTAAGAGTTGCAATACAATTAATCCAATAAAATTATTATTAAATTAATTTAAATCTGAAGTAATGGTAACCTTTAGCTCACAATAAATATTTAGCATTAAATAAATATTTAAAGTTGGGTTGGGTTTATTATAAAAATTAAATAATTTCAAAATGTTACATGTATAAGATATAATTGACATTTATTTCCATGATAAGAAATATAAAAAATGTATTATTTAATAAACAAATAAATTTAAAATAAAAGATATACCAAAATACAATTTACATTAAATTTATTCCAAGTTCAGTTTAATTTTAAAAGAATTATTAAAAGTCCTAATTAAATAAAAAAAAAACTAAATCCCATAGAGTAAGAACCCTGAGCAGAATGTTGCATATTTTGTGTATTTTAAAATTACTAAAAGAACTAATTTAAATAGGAAAAAATGGGATTTTATAGTCAGACGAGGGTAGTGTAAATGTCCATAGTTAGAAGCTTTAGATTTTAATTAATTGTTAAATACATTTAAATTCATTTAATTTAGTAGAGAATCAATGTAGGTTTGGTTTATGTAAATTAAGAGACAATATAATTTCCAGTGAAAATGATCCAAATGAAATAAGTCAAAAATTAGTCGAATTTTTAAAATTAGATAAATCCATTATTACCTAGAACTATGATAAGCGTTGTACAAATTTCCACTCACTATTGTTTTCATTAGAAAATCTTGAGGTATAAAATAACAAAATATTAATATTAATAATATCTCAATGCAGTGGCGGCTTGTGGCTTGGACGCCGGGACTATCGCCCCCCCTACTAAAATTAATTAAAAGAAGATTATTAATTGTATGTTCTTAATTCTATATTTTTATTAAAAATACAAATTTTTAAATAGTAAAATAGTTATAATACATTTGTCGTGTGCGAACATAAAAGTCGTTTACCTCACTATTTGCGGATATGCACACACGAGCAGTGTTTTGACGACCTATAGCGTCGTTCGAATAATATTTTGATTACTTGATAACGTTATGATTTGTGCCTGTAGTCTACAATATTTTATTTTTAACATAACAATTAGTCGTTGAGTCATTCTCTGTTGTAGTTTTATATAGTAAGTGTTAACTCCTAATGCTTTTGATATCGATTATTAACTTTGGCNACAGGGTGTTCAGTAAGTGTTAACTCCTAATGCTTTTGATATCGATTATTAACTTTGGCAGTTATTAGCGTATTAAGTTTCACTTGTTGGTGAGTTAACGACTATAATTTGATTTCTTATCACATTAGTTATTTGTTTTACACACATCACCAACCAGCTGTATTTTTTTGGCGACTTAAACGCTCCTGTTATTGATTCTCAATTGTATGCTGTATCAGCATTACCGGTTGTGATTTTGGTTGCGTTTTTATACTTTTAAGGAGTATATTATATTGAACATCATTACGAGTCCAAATACTCCTCAAAAAGACACTTCAAAAGTTACTACTAGGTCTTCTCTAACTATCTCCTCCGGGAGGTCAGTTAATTGATCGTCCAATCGAGCTGACATGAGTAATAAAACCAATATGATCTCAAATGAAGATTTGATGGTTCTGTTAAAGGACTTAAAGGATGAAGTATTATCTTCCAATAAGGCAATGTCTGAACTGCAGGCTTCGCAATACAAANTTTGAACTGCAGACTTCGCAATACAAAGACTTCAATGCTGACTCGTTGCGGGTTTCTGATCAAATGACTGAATTGAAGAAGGAAAATACTAGGCTTAGTAAACAAATTGATGCACTGAAAAGTAAAGTTACAAGTTTGGAAAATTCAAGCTCAGTTGATACATCACAATCTGTAGTGTCACAAGTTATCCAAGAAACATTTGCGCGTGAAAAATGTCAGTCTAATTTGATTATATACGGAATTCCTGAATCTACGTCGACGGTTGTAACTGAGCGAATAGCTCATGACAAATTGACAATTGACAATATTCTTGTTTCACTTCCAAGTGCTGGTTCCCTGAACTTATAACTTGTCCACCTTGGCAAACTCCGGGCAGATTCAACCCGCCCTATAAAAATTATTTTAAATAGTAAAGGAGATGCTTTATGCTTATTATCTGAGTTCAACTCTGCAAAGCACTCTGGTACTACATTTCCTGATAATTTTCGAATGGTTAGTGATAGAACCCCACTTCAACGTAAATTGTTGCGTTCCTGTTATATGGAGCTTGAATAAAGAACTAAAGATGGTGAATCTTGACTACGTATAAATTATGAAGATGGATTGCTAAAAGTTGTTGTCAACCATTCAAAAAACGGAAGAATACGTCAACGGCAAGCAGTCAACCATTCTTAGCAACACCTCTATATAATGGCTCAATATCTGTGTAGCGAGGTGTAATATATAGAAGTAATAAACACTTTTACGATTTAATAACAACTATACTATATTACAACGAACTAACAAATAACAGCGAGAGACGAAGCGCGTTTAAGACAGAATGCGTAAGTGATTGACTGATCGACTGATTGACTGGAGCGACGATCTTGCCCTTAAATAGTCAGAGGAATCTTCTAGAGGCGGCAGCGGCCGAACATTCTAGAACATTCGACCGCCACATCTGGATTCTATCAGAACTGCCGTGGTTTAAGGAAAAAATTGTTTAACTTTAACTGTAATGTATCATCTTTAAATTGTACTTTCATTGTTTTAACTGAAACATGGTTAACCGATAACTTTTTTGATTCTGAACTTGGTTTAATTAACTATAATATTTTTAGGTGTGATAGATTGATTGGGTTGGGTCAATTGTTTTAAACAATGGAAACATTATAAACATTAGTGAACACTTTGTATATTACTCTTTAGTCGGTAGAAAAAAACGAAACTAGGAGATTTAGGACCGTGTAAATAAAGACTACTAATCTAAACTTAAAATAATAACATATTATTGAAAACGTATACANACACTATTGAAAACGTGTACATTTGATTATATTTAAGTAATACACTGACACGTCTGGCAGTAACGGTCAGACCCGTTCGGATTTTACAATGTTCACACAGGTAGATAATAGCCGCCCGATAAAGATACACATAATTAACATAAGACCGATGATAAAGATTACAACAAAATTGTAATTTTATACTAATCAAAATAGAAATTACAATCGTTGAGAACGGCAATTTTTTATTTGTATCGCAATTTCAAATAAATTTAATTTGATACTATAGACGACTAAACTTATTATCTAGATACTTTTTCTAGAAACCCAATTAATTATTGAATAAATATGGATATTAAATGCATGTGATAGGAAAATTGTTTTCAATATAATTATTGAAATGGTACCAACAATGTTGGTCCAACATTCCTAACAATTTCTATTATATATTTAAATAAAACTAATTCAATATACTGTAAGTTAAAAACAAATGATCCTAGAACTTGTTTTTTATAAATAATCTGCTACCAAAGTCATAGAACTTTAAAATGTTTAGACATTTTTTTTTTTTATTTATGATAATGTTCTAGAATAACCAAATGAAAGTTTAAAAAAAATAATATGACAATTAAAAAAATTTGTCTATAATCGGCAAATTTCAAATTATTTTAATGATATAAACATTTTTGGGTACAATTTTTTTTCTAAGTAGCAACAGACGTATAGAGGGGCTTCAACGCCATTATCTCTAATTCCATTATCTCCAAAATTTACGATAGTGAGATAAATCACTATTTGATTTTCATGAATAAACTATGCATAATCTAAACAGTACCTTTTTTTAACAGGGAATTATATTTTCATAAATAGAAATAATCGAAGTAAGTCATCCATCTAAAAGTGTGTAATTGCAATTTTTTTAATAAGTGGTAACAGACGTATTTAGGGGTCAACTTTAAAAATATACTCTAAAACAAAATTACCAGTAATCTTAAAGCACATTCGCCTCTGAGTAAGAGGCAAAATATTAAAAAAACAAATATACCTAATAATAATAGATTTAAAATACCTTCTCAGCTTCGCATCGAAGCTAAAACATTTAACAAAAACAAATTTAAAACAATCTTCTGATTTGACTTTTGATTTGATTAGATACGAATAAAATGTTGAGTAAATGATCACCATTAAAATAACCTTTAACATTATTTAAAAAAACTGCTGTCCTGTCCGGGGTGTGTGAAAAAAAATTTTTTAACATATATTTTAAACAAAATGATTTAAATTATGCATAATCCAAATAGTACATGTTTATTAATAGGGAATAATAGATCCAACATCAGGAATAATCAAATTAAGTCATATGTTTAACACTTTGTCATTAAAAAATTTACCAAGATCGCTCGATTTAATTCATATTTGTATTGCTAACTCAAACTTAAATCCAACAATTGAAATTAAAAAAGGTAAGACAATTAAATAACTTTTAAATCCTTATATATTTAAAATAATTAAAAAAAACGTTGATTGTTAAAATGGTAAAACAAGCTTTTTTTTTTGTAATTTACTACAATATTAATAAAGTTAATAAATTTTTACAAGAAAAAGAAGTAAAAAATAATCTTAATACTCATTTCAAAGCCATTTTCAAGGGCTTTTTTAATACAAATATTAAAATCTTTGTAACATTATTGTATTTGTATTTGTATTGAGTTCCTACTTAGGATGAGACACGGGGACGTGTTGGAGTGGACTGTACACTTAACTTTTACGAATAACTACAATAATATAATTTAAGTTCTAGAATTTACAGTTATTATTAAATGAATAATATTATAATAATCATTCACAATTTTATATTTATGTGACACTTTATACAACATCAGGTCAAACATTATTGAAAATTGCTTACCCAGACTATTAGTTGTACACTTACTAATTAACTAACTAAATCGTACTAACATTAATACTACAGTAATACGGGTTGGGTTAATTATTCATAAATTATTGTTGTTTTCAAATTAAAATTTAATACTGATCATTATATGTGTTTATATTCTATTTCAATATATTACTTAATGAATATTTACAATATTAAAAATTAAAAAAAAATTAGGGTGCTGAAAAATCCTCATCGAGGTCGCAAAAGATGTGAAACAATAATTTCTATTGAACAGTACCAGTTTCGAGACTGCAGTCGAAGAACGCGAAATTTAAAGCGCAGAAAACGAAAAATTCTTCCAGGTGACTCATATTTTGAGGGGTTTACGAAAATAGGATGTAGAGGGAGTTAGAGAGAGACAAATTATTTTTTATTTATAGATTAATCAAGGGAAACTCAAAAACTATAAACGATAGCCCATTGAAATGTGTTATAAAAATTATGAACAGTCTAATCGAAAAAGAAAATTCATCAAAATGTATGGTTGTAGTGATGTCTAAAGTAAGATATACAATAAACGCATGTAACTATTTAAATTTAACCTTGGCTAATATATCAATAACAATTAAATTGTATAGATATTTTTATTATTAATACCTTAAATAAACAAATATTTATTTAAACTAAATCATAAAATAATTTTTTAAATCCTTAAAAATATATTATTTTATGTAAACACAAAACTTAAAAAGATATTTTAAATAATATAATTATACAAATTTGTATTAGTTATACATTGTATATTATTTGTACAATAATTATGTCAAGCAAGATTCCATACTGTTGTGCATTCTTAAACTGTGAAGTTTGTATTAATAATATATTAACATTAATTAATCCCAGCATAAATTAAATCATTAACTTTAGTCTGTTTATTTATTACAGTAAATTTAATTAAATTTTTTATTCATCTCTAAACTGTTAATTATGTAATGTTAAATAGCTATAGTTAAAAAGAACGATCAATGTTAGATATCCAATTTACTATTAAATTTAATAATTTTCTAGAAATTCAATATTAATGAAAATAAATATTGTAATTTATGGTTTTTAGTTTGCAAAATACAAACTCCGTGTAAGACGACGAGATCCACTTGAAGATCATGATACTAATTCACAGGACAGTGGTTCTCTTACTGCTCATTCAGATGATTCTAGATCAGTGTCAACATTATCTCAGAGCAATACATCATATACAGCTGATTCAGATGATGAATTCTTAGACATTGCTGTATCCCCAACAGAATCGGTAATTATTTTACCTTTTAAAAAGGTTAAC